ATTTATAAACGGTATTTTCCCATTTCTATTTTCTGCATCTTTCTGGGTACGAGTCAAAGACTTTAAGCTTTTAACAAAAGGGAAATTTTACCTTGCTCAAAAGAAAACAATAAAAATTGATTGCAAAAGTCCAAACTGGCAAAAACAATGATGGTGAAAAGGGTATGTAGCTTTCACCAACACTGAAGGACTCCCACACACATAAAATAGAATCATAAAACTTCTGCAAGAATCTCACTTTGCAAGATAGAACAACAGTTGTCCTCCATGATCAGGAAGACTAATTCCTTCCTAATGGTCTTCTTCATCTGTCTATCTAGTCTAAGTTCTCGGGTGCCTAATGAGGGTGGAGGATTCTGCAGGGTGAGTATAAATATGTCCAGGCAGGACAGATGGATCAACCATGTCCTACATTCCTCATAATGGTTTTGTGCTGTGTGAATGCTTGCATATCCTGATGCCATCTGATTGTGGAAAGGTGGCCCCAGATTCCTTATATTCACACGGTCTATCTGGGGGAACTCTTCAGGGATGGTTTGTGTACCAGGGTCACAAAAGGATTCCCTCCATTCCTAAGTTCTCTCTCTTGTGTGAATTTTTCTATGTACTGAAGTGACTCAACTGTGAAAAGGTTTTTCCACATTTGTGACAGTCCCAAGATCTCTCTCTCTCCAGGGTGAATTCTTCCATGAGGGGCACTGACTGTCAAACTCCTTTCCCACATTTCTTACATTCAGAAGGTCTCTCCCATGTGTGAATTTCTTTATGGACAGTTAGGCTGAAGGTGACACAGTGATTTCTCTAGTACTTACATTCCTAAGGTCTGTCGCCTCTGTGAATCTGAATGTTTGGTGAGGTACCCTGTCGCTGAAATGGTTTTCACATAGTCCTTATATTCATAAGGTCTCTCTCCTGGGTGAATTGTTCTCCGTACAGTGAGACGTCTTGAATATAAAAATATTTTCCCCCATTCCTGACATGCTTAAGGTCTCTCTCCTGTGTGAACAGTTCTCTGGGAGGCTATTTCATCATGAAAATGTTCTACCACACTGCTGACATTCATAAGGCTTCTCTCCTGTGTGAACGATCTTATGTCGACTGAGCTTAACTGATCAAGAAAATGCTTTCTCACATTTCTGACATTCAAAAAAGGTCTCTCTACTGTGTGGACACCTCTATGTACAGCGAGAGTACTTGAATTTGAAAATGCCTTCCCACATTCCTGACATTGGTAAGGTCTCTCTCCTGTGTGGACTCTTCTATGCACCGTGAGGGTACTCGAATTGGTAAATGTTTTCCCACAGTGCTGACATTCGTAAGGTCTCTCTCCTGTGTGAATTCTTCTATGTAGAGTGAGCTGATCTGATCGGGCAAATGTTTTCCCACATTCCTGACATTCGTAAGTTTTCTCTCCTGTGTGAATTCTTATATGTTTAGTGAGGTGACCTGGTTGTGAAAATGTTTTCCCACAGTAATTACATTTGTAAGGTCTCTCTCCTGTGTGAATTCTTCTATGTAGAGTGAGCTGATGTGATCCAGAAAATGTTTTCCCACAGTCCTGACACGCGTAAGGTCTCTCTCCTGTGTGAATTCTTCTATGGACAGTGAGCTGACTTGACTTGCAAAATGTTTTTCCACACACCTGACATTCGTAAGGTCTGTCTCCTGTGTGAATTCTTCTATGCAGTATGAGGTGACTTGAATATGTAAATGTTTTCTCACACTCCTGACATTTGTAAGGTCTCTCTCCTGTGTGAACTCTTGTATGTTGAGTGAGGATATGTGACTGGGTAAATGTTTTCCCACACTCCTGACATTCGTAAGGTCTCTCTCCTGTGTGAACTCGTCTATGTTCAGTGAGGATACGTAACTGGGTAAATGTTTTCCCACATTCCTGACATTCGTAAGGTCTCTCTCCTGTGTGAATTCTTCTATGTAACTTGAGCGGACGTGACTCGGTAAATGTTTTCCCACATTCCTGACATTCGTAAGGTCTCTCTCCCGTGTGAATTCTTCTATGTAACATGAGGTGACTTGATCGGGCAAAGGCTTTGCTACATTCCGGACATTCGTAAGGTCTCTCTCCTGTGTGAATTCTTCTATGTCCAGCTAGGATATTTGATCGTGAAAATGTTTTCCCACAGTCCTGACATTCATAAGGTCTCTCCCCTGTGTGAACTACTCTATGTGAAGTGAGGCTACCTAAGTGAGAAAATGTTTTCCCACATTCTGTACATTGAAAAGGTCTCTCTCCTGAGTGCATTTTGGCATGGAGAGTTAAAAGAGCAAGCCGAGGAAAGGTTTTGCCACACTGGTGACACTCATAAGGTTTCCCATCTGTATGTGTTCTCGCATGTCTCCTTAGGCATGACAAAGAACGCAAAGATTTTCCACATACCTTACAATTATAAGGCTTCTCTACACTGTCAGTTCTTCTCTTTACTGTGCTGTCTGAAGTACTAGTAAGGGGGGCAGAAGAAGAAAAGGGTTTATCAATTTCAGTACATTCATAAAGCTTTTCTAGAAAACTAAACTCTTCTTTGGAAACTAAAGGGAAAGGATTCCTGCAGGTCTCAGCACATTCTGTAGGTTGATGTTCATCTACCACATGGATCCAAAATGAAGAGAAGGTACAGAAATCTTTGCCACATTTCTTACATTCATGGCCGGTGTCACCAAGGTCACTCCTCAACAGGTTTACGTCGACATGGTTGTCGGAATAACTTGGAAATCTGACGTTCATGTTCCCAGGGGGAGGGTCTTCAATTCCTTCACACAGCTCCTGGACTGTTTGACTTCTGGGAAAAATAGATAACACACCTTTGTAACTATGCCCACAATAAAACAGAATGAAAAGGTATGAGTTTAACATGTCAGAGTCTCACATGACTTGATTTAGCAAAAATTTAATTCCTAGAACTGCATTTATAAATCTAGTTACACTTCTGATACCGGTTTCCAAAGTCACAATGTTTCTCATGAGTATTTGTTGTGTTTTGTTATTTGTTTTGTTTTGTTTTTTTTTTCATTTTCCTGATACGCACCTCCAATAGTTTTCTTTGATTTTATGTAGATTTTCTTTGCCACACAGTTTTAACATTTTCCGTAACATGGAAGACCAAAGATGGGTGGTCTTTAAGAATGTCAGTTGAGTACATTCAGGGGATAATGCTTCTCCGTCATTCACAAGTTCAAGGCCTGTTATATAACAAAAACAATTTTGACAACACATACAGTAAAATAACACAGGTTAGGCTCCTCTGAACAAACAGTCAAGTGGGCACATGTTTCACTTTCAGCACTCTGACAATGGACAGCAAGCTAATCACTACGAAGTCCTTCTGAGACAAATGAAAGACATGATGATATAAATGAGTTTCCTCTGGGTGAAGAATTACAAAGATGATGCACACAGTACGCACACCATCACACAGAATTGTACACACAATGCACAGTGTACACAGCCTGTATCACAGAGTATTCACATTACATTTCACAGGAAAAATAGAAAAATGGCTCTAGGACAGGCCTCCTGATGCAGTAAAGAGTGTCCAGTGATTTGTTAAAACATCCAGCAAAAAAAAAAAAGACATTTTTCTTCTAACTGGTTCATGAAAATACCTATTTCTCAATAGGTAAAAGATCCATAACATATTAACGATTTCATAGGTCTTCTCAACACAGGAGCCCTAGAGGACTCAGGTGGCCTAGTGGCAAGAAGCTGTGCTACAAACTCAAAGGCATGTGGTTCAAATCCACCAGATGCTCTGCTGGAGAAGGAGGGGCAGTCTCCTCCTGTGCCTGTCAGATCCAATTTGAAAGAACACCAAAACAAGAACAGCAAAAAAACAAGAACAGCAACAACAACACAGGAGCAATAAATGACTGTTATACCCCATGGCCCCAAAGAATAGGCCTTGTATTCTGACCCAGAAAAGTTAGAATGTACACTTAGGATAGTGACAGCTCTAAATCCACTGAATCACAGAAGAGAAAAGGTGCTCTCAGATACAAAGGCTGCCATGAAGAAATCATTTTCCATGTGTGAGGGCTAAAAGCCAGGTGACCATGCCTGTTTCATTAACCCTAGTATTTCAATTCCTCTGCCAAAGTTCAAAAGTCATGTGCATGAATTCATTTTCTTTGCATTCCAAGGATCTGAAAGCATATCAAATCTTAATTTTACCTATAAAGTCCAGGTTTTCCAAGATTTCCGTCATCACGTCCCTGTAGAGTTTCTTCTGCGCAACATTCAATAAAGCCCACTCTTCCTGGGTGAAGAAGATGACCACATCGTCAGCCAACAGTGGTGCCTGAAACACACAGCGTTATCTGGATCTGATCGGTACCGTGTCGCACAAAGAGGGCAAGAACAAAAAAGGAGCCTCACATACATAGAAAACTAAGAAATCGTACAGACATAACAAAAGTTCAATTTTCATCCAAGATCTACTGAGGGCATCAGATTTCAGCCTTGTTCTGGACCTTATGACTTTCATTAACTCACTGAAGAAATCCTGGCCATCAACTAGTTAATCAGAGATTTACTATATACTCAGTGAACCTGTAGATCACTTCACTGTGAGTCTTTTTTACATATATTCTGTGTCGTGGAAAAAAACACAGCTCGAAATAGAGAACTGTTGAATTTGGAAGATAAGTATGTTGGGAATAGTCAATTTGATCTTCCTTTGAAAAGATCTTTAAGAATAGTGAAGAAAATACAAAGGACAAACAGAAAGCAGAGTGATGTATGGAAACATTGCAGAAGGGAAGTATTTTCCAGAGAGTACACAGGTCCACACAAGCATATTGTGGGAGGACAAACGCTTAAACAGAACTGAAGGAGGCAAAGATACAAGCTGGAATTCCTCTTGTGACAGATCACAAAGAATTAGGCGGTATTTCTCCTGAGGCAACTCACAGGAGACAGGCACTTCAGGCAGACCTGGTGGCACCTCTGCTACTCTCAGACTGTGTTTGTAAACCCATCATTCCAAAGAGAAGCATAATAAGATAATAAGATAAACATAAGGATGTCAGCAGATACATACATAGCCAATTAATAAAGAATATTTTCTATGATTTATCCCCTGGGAATTTTCCATACAGGCAGGGGAGACTCTGAGCTGGGTGCTTCAGTGTTCAAGCTATTCTCCCACTGCCTTCACTCTCTTCTCTCCCTCATTCTCAGTGTCACTGTGTCTTCACACGTCCACATCGATAACAGCATATGGCAACACAAGTTCCTTTTTTTTTGAGAAAAAAAATTTTACTTCTTTCTATTCAGTTGCTCCTGCAATAAGGAAAAATATGCATCGCTTACCAGGAATTCATTTCAGTCAAGGTTGTGGACGATAGGCAAGTCACCCAATCTTGGAACTTTTCATAGGATCAGAAGTTTCGCACATAAAAGCTTTAGTGCACATATCTAGGGTTGTGATACCATATGACAATGACAGGA